ACAATCTTAATGTGTCTTCTATATTGGTTTTGACACCCAATTTTCCAAGTCATGATTTCAATTAAATGTTACCCAAAGATGCATCTGATACCTTGTGGAAATAATGTTCCTTCATTGCACACGGTGTGCCTCCATGTGGGAATTTATTTTTTCATCTAGATGTAAAAGTTTGTCATAGTTTCTCACCCTTTACTTCGAGTTGGAAAGAGATAGTTACTATACGGACAATATTCATAGCATTTTCCACGTTCACTTTCACCATTAGTTAAATAGACATGATTTTTTCTTAGAGAATTTGTTCTCTCTTTTCAAACTTACCTAGCTTTGTCTATAGTGAAGTGGTATTCAGAAGTTGCCGTATGAGTCTGATCACACATCTTCAGTATACTAATATTATTTGTTTCTTGTTGAAGGTGTCCAGATACAAATTATCTATTTGTAATGTAGATCGTGGGTACCATTCAGTTGAAATGTAACTGTAAGTACAAGTTAAATAATGGTTTCATTTGCAATAGAGAGACTTTCGTTTTGTATATGACAAGCTAGCTGTCCTTATTCCCTTATGTCTTGGTTTTTTTTTCTTTAGTTGGTTGGTGATTGAGGTTTGAAGCAGAGAATGCTTCATTCTCCCGCTGAACTACTTTTAATGCTTGATGCTAATGGAGCAACCAAAGTGAGTGATCTTTAAAAACTTGAAAATCAGACTCGTGCCCGCTTTGATTATAAAACACGTATCATAAAACTCTTATTTCTGTTGTAGAATCTTCTATTTTAAGAAGTCAAATTTTAGAATTAGGAAACTAAGAGCTCAGGGGCGTTCTCTTCATGTTTCAGTTTTGTATCTTGTGTTTTGAATTCGTTTTGTGTTTTGTATTTTGAGTGTCTGTTTTGAAATTTCTGAAAATGCGTTCTTTTTCCCATTCTAAAAAACAGTTTCCAAAAACATAAAAATGAAAAACGCGTTTACTTTCAAATTTTGAGAATTTTTGTAATAATACTTTATTCAAAAAAATTGATTATTCAATAAATTGTAATTGTTTAATGTAAGCCCCCATATGACACACATTTTCTTCTCATTCTCATCTCTTTTTTTTCTTTCTT